CAACAGCCTTCCCTGTTGTGAATCAACATGGGTGAGTCCATGAATGTTAAGTGACAGTGTGACATAGATCTGTCAGGCTTTTCAAATCCTAGAGTTTCGCCGTCGATCTTCTATCAGAAGCTGATGCAGGAGATCTGGATTTGAATCTTAAGGATTGTGGTTGACTGAAAAAACATTTTTAAATTATTATTTAAGATTAAAATTTGTCACTCTGAGGTTTCCATGCAGGCTGAACATGAAAACAGTCTCCTATACCTATCTCCTGCTTCAGCTTCTGACAGTAAAATGCTAGGATTGGAAATTCCTCACACTGTGATGTCACACTGTGAATTTACATTCTTTGCCTCATCCACCTTGGCTCACGCCCACCCACAGGAAGGCTTTTTTCTTGCAGCAAGGAGAGAGAGCAGAGTGTGTCTTAGTGATGGTGATCTTGCAACATGGGTGAATGTGTTCTGTTAGCCAATCAGAAGTGAGGTGTGTGAATATCATTAATATTAATGAGTAATCTTGCTGTTTTCAGCCCACATCTGCACCAGCAAACTTCTGCATCTTAGAACAGGAGCATCATAACTTTTTAAAATGACTCATAAGGCATTGATTTACACTAGAGAACACTGCAAATGTATTGAATAAACGAGTAAAACACTCCTTTAAAATGTACAATCTTTGAGTGTCCAACATTCCGCAAGAAGGAAAAATAGTGCCAACATTCTAGAGAGTCGTTGTCTCAGTGGGGTTCTTACTAAGTTCAGCCTGTGCAGAGCTTCAAGATGTTTCAAACAGATCCTCAAAGCTACATGTCAGACTCTACAGGCCTAGAGCAGCAGGTTGATTTTGAAGGCCCAAAAGAAAAATCTAAATAAAAAAAAATGTTTGCTATGTTGCATCAAACTAACTGCAAAAATTTTGATGTCACATCCAAAGTGTTTGTTTTTGGCCAAAATGGAAAGCACCAGTTTTGGATAACCCTTAGTCATGCTACATGTTGAGTGGGAGAGGGATGATAATTTGGACTTTTATTTGTCCAAAACAGAACCTAGAGGTGCATTAGGGACACTGTTTTTCAAGTAAGACACCGTACCTGTTCTTTGGTCAATGTAGTCAGAATAACATTGTGAACGTCTGCTGTCCAGTAAACACCCATAATCATGCCTTATGTTTTCTGTGCGCGTGTGTGTGTGTGTGTGTGTGTGCGTGCGTGCGTGCGTGCGTGCGTGTGTGTGTGTGTGTGTGTGTGTGTGTGTGTGTGTGTGTGTGTGTGTGTGTGTGTGTGTGTGTGTGTGTGTGTGTGTGTGTGTGTGTGCATGCCTGTGTGTGGTGAGTACACTTTACGTTTCATTACCACTTACTTTCACCTGTGCTGACACAATGCCCCATCTCTCCTCCTAAGAGAAAACACAGAACAACTTTAAACTCGAAATATCGTTCAGATTTCTTCCACAACAATTGTTTATAATGATCTTTCAGAAAAACACCACTTTTTCTCTTTGTTTGTTCGTCACCCATCCTGCTTATCTGTTCATTTCTACTTCTCTTTAATTCTGTTTTTCTGCTCCAACGGGTAACATTATATCGGATAATGTGTCAGAGGAAGTGATGACTTTAATTCTTAGTGTCAGTATGGATGGAAACTAAGGATAGTTACATATATCCATCCGGGTATCGATGATAAAATTTAGTTCAGGATTTAAATGGATTTAAATTAGGAGAAATTGTTTTATTTTTGTGTAAAAAGTTGTCAAAAATCAAGTTTTTCTGCACTATACAGGTGCTGGCCAGTAAATTAGAATATCATCAAAAGGTTGAAAATATTTCAGTAATTCCATTCAAAACGTGAAACTTGTACATTATATTCATGCAATGCACACAGACCAATGTATTTCCAATGTTCATTACATTTAAATTTGATATTCATAAGTGACAACTAATGAAAACTCCAAATTTGGTATCTCAAAAAATTAGAATATTCTGAAAAGGCTGAATATAGAAGACACCTGCTGCCACTCTAATCAGCTGATTTACTCAAAACACCTGCAAAGGCCTTTAAAAGGTCCTTCAGTCTTGTTTTGAAGGCACCACAATCATGGGGAAGACTTCTGACTTAACAGCTGTCCAAAAGACAATCATTGACACCTTGCACAAGGAGGGCAAGACACAAAAGGTGATTGCTAAAGAAGCTGGCTGTTCGCAGAGCTCTGTGTCCAAGCACATTAACAGACAGGCGAAGGGACGGAAAAAATGTGGTAGAAAAAAGTGTACAAGCTCTAGGGATAACCGTACCCTGCAGAGAATTGTGACGACAAACCCATTCAAAAATGTGGGGGAGATCCACAAAGAGTGGACTGCAGCTGGAGTCAGCGCTTCAAGAACCACCACGAGGAGACTCATGAAAGACATGGGATTCAGGTGTCGCATTCCGTGTGTCAAGCCACTCTTGAACAAGAAACAGCGCAAGAAGCGTCTCGCCTGGGCCAAGGACAAAAAGGACTGGACTGATGCTGAGTGGTCCAAAGTTATGTTTTCTGATGAAAGCAAGTTCTGCATTTCCTTTGGAAATCAAGGACCCAGAGTCTGGAGGAAGAGCGGAGAAGCACAGAATCCACGTTGCATGAGGTCCAGTGTAAAGTTTCCACCGTCAGTGATGGTGTGGGGTGCCATGTCATCTGCCGGTGTTGGCCCACTCTGTTTCCTGAGGTCCAGGGTCAATGCAGCCGTCTACCAGGAAGTTTTAGAGCACTTCATGCTTCCTGCTGCTGACCAACTTTATGGGGATGCAGACTTCACCTTTCAACAGGACTTGGCACCTGCACACAGTGCCAAAACCACCAGCACCTGGTTCAAGGACCATGGTATCCCTGTCCTTGATTGGCCAGCAAACTCGCCTGACCTTAACCCCATAGAAAATCTATGGGGTATTGTGAAGCGGAGGATGCAATACGCTAGACCCAACAATGCAGAGGAGCTGAAGACGACTATCAGAGCAACCTGGGCTCTCATAACACCTGAGCAGTGCCACAGACTGATCGAGTCCATGCCACGCCGCATTACTGCAGTTATTGAGGCAAAAGGAGCCCCGACTAAGTATTGAGTGCTATACATGCACATTCTTTTCATGTTCATTCTTTTCAGTTGGCCAACATTAGAGAAACAAACATTTTTTCATTGGCCTTTAGAATATTCTAATTTTCTGAGATACCAGATTTGATGTTTTCATTGGTTGTCACCTATAAATATCAAATTTAAATGTAATGAACATTGGAAATACATTGGTCTGTGTGCATTGCATGAATATAATGTACAAGTTTCACGTTTTGAATGGAATTACTGAAATATTTTCAACCTTTTGATGATATTCTAATTTACTGGCCAGCACCTGTATCTGTGACAGTGTGGAAGGTGGAGAAACAAGGGCCCGGGCGGGATTCGATACTCAGACTCCTGCGTGAGAGTCACCAGTCAGCTAAAGGGATGTGCCCGTGGCCAGTAGCCAGGGCGCATGATCAGTCAATCAGGATACAGTGACAAGATGCTCACCCTGTCACAACAGTAACCTGGTTACAGGGTGGGTCAGGTGGGTGCGTGTGCTCATGAAGTAGACATATTTGTCTATAACTGAATAAGTGGCATCATAAATCACCATTCATGATTAGTGAAATGACTTGTTTGTTTTGGGACAGCAGTAGCTCAGGAAATGGAGTGGGTTGTCCAGTAAACGGAAGGTTGCAGGTGTGATTCCGGCTCCGACCAGAAAATGCTGCTGTTGTATCCTTGGGCAAGACACTTAATCTACCTTGCCTGCTGGTGGTGGTCGGAGGATCGGTGGTACCAGCGTTCGACAGGCCTCGCCTCTGTCAGGGCAGCTGTGGCCACATCGTAGCTCACCCCCACCAGCGTGTGAATGGGTGAATGGCTGATTGTGTTGTGAAGCACCTTGGGGGGTTGTAGAACCCTGAGAAGGCGCTATACAAATACAGTACATTTACTATTTGTTTGGTACGTTTTTGAGCATGTGCACTAGGGATGGCCGATATTATCTTCAATCCACGGTTCATAAAAAGCCTCCTTGTGTGAATTTAGCTATTGTTTTACTTTTGTTTAATATTATTAATAATCAAAGCACTCCCAATAATCGTGCCTCCTTCATCCTTAATGCCCCCACTGTTGGCCACTTGTCTTTTAAGTGTTTAAAGCAAAACACAGAGTGGCTTTCACATCCCTACCTCAAAACTCCTGCTCTCAAAGTCCTGACCAATTAAAGAGTTTGTGTGTGGGCTCTGAGAGGCTATGTGCTGTTTAGTCAGCACTTTGCAGCTCAGTGCAGATGCAGCGTGTGTTATTGGGATGGGGAGAGAGGGTATCGATCTCGATCAGCATGCACGTCGGATAAATCCAAGAACTGACTGAAACCACACCAGACTCCAAACTCACTCTGGATTAACTCCGCCTCACTTTTGTTACATTATTCTTTAGAAGATAAACAAATGTTGGGTAAAACATGCAAATATTTGCAATTTCAAAAGTTAGAAAATGACCATGGAACAATTATACTCTTAGTTTATGTTAGATGAAGAATGTTGATGATAATTCCTCCTCTGCTCACTGAATTAAATCTGTATGATTTTGTGCTAAAAACTGAGGCAGATGCAAGTGTGACAGTTTGGGGATCTGATGTAAACAGTCAGCATAGGTTTTTTTAGGGATTGTATTTGCCTTGACTTTTTAGGACAATTGTAGTTTTGTGAATTCTAAAAAAAATTCAGGTATAGGCTGTTTGAGATTTGAGCCTGATTTAGGACATTTAAAAATATAACTACATAAAAGCACTTTAAAGCTTTTAATTTAACTTACAAAATCACTAAACTCTAATATATATAAGCATCTTTGAATAAAAAAAATGAGAACAAATAATATTCAAATGTAAAGCAGTGTGAAGACGGCTATACCCTGTGGCACTTTTCTTGTTTATTAGTTTAAAAGTTGTTTGATCTGTTCCACAGAGACTCGGGAGGACCGCAATAAGAGACTGTTCAGACACTACACTGTGGGGTCGTACGACAACTTCACCTCATACAGGTACGGCCCCTCTTTCTGAGTAGCCGTGTGTTCTGTGCTGCTTCGACTCTCGTGGTCATCTTGTCCTAAGGTTAATGACGTCCATAAGGGAAGGTGAGGAAGGACAGTGAAGCTACTGCCATCTAAAGCAATCAAGCTGCCAGTGCACTCAGCTCTGAAACCCAAAATGCAAAGAAAGGATGTCACCTCAGTTCTAGTCAGGACTACGCTTTAATGTTTTATGAATTTTCTTTTCTTGATTTCCTGTTTCTTCTGTTAAGGCGACTTTTACTGTCTTAAACTTTCCTCTCTGCTAAATTTAGACATGTTTGCAGAGAGTGGGCTAGCAACATGAAATAGTGTTACATTGCAAAATCTCACTCGTTTCTCTCGTTCTCACATTTTATCTGATTGAGACACTTAATTTGCATTATTTCTACCAAGCTGTTCTAAAGATGTCACCCTGTTACATTTTGAATACTTTTAGAGAGACTAAAGCTGCAAAGGCAAATTTGGAAAACAAATTATCTTAAAACATTTTATTCATGCCTCTTAACAACAATCTAACATAGCATAGCTATGCATGTATTGTGTAGATAAAAGAAGGAAAAAAATTAATAAAGTGGTTTTCTCACATTTGTCTCAAAACCTCCGCCAATAACACGTTTTCAAACTCTCGTACTTCCCTGTGTCCTCCATTCAATACACACTCACATATTTAGCAGCACAACAACTCTGGTGTGAGAGGCTCTCTGCTCAATAATATCAGAGAAGGAGAAACAGTTGGCTGCTACCACTTCAACTTTTGAGCAAACTACCAGAGTCCCAAAAATAAAAACCCCATTTCAAGTCACGGACAACAAAAGACATTTGGATCTAGAAAAAGGAGCCTGGTGTTTAGCACTATGTGGTTTCACCTGGTTTCCAGTTCCAGCAGAAGCCTCTCAGAACCTTAGCCTAGTGAACTAGACCGAATTCATGCTTTGCAAAGTTTAGTCTAGGAACTCTCCATTGGAACCTCGGCAGCCCCTAGCAGAATTCTGGCTTGCCAATCACAGCTCTCTAGAGATGGATGTTTCAAACACTCAGAGAGCTGTGATTGGTCCATAATGATGGGCCACTCAAAGCTCTATCTGCTTTGTTGAATCAATCAGGGCCCTCTATTCATCTGGTGGGTGAGATGATGCAACAGAGTGGAACAAGATGGCGACCGCAGGTCATTTGAAACGGCTTGTACATCAATTTTGGACTATTTGGACATGGGTTTTCTTAGAATCAGGAGCAAATAAATGTATTTAAGTTCTTTTTTGGGGAAAAATGGATGTATTTTCACCTTCTGCAACAGCGGACCACCTCGTTTACCGACATCCGTTGCGGTGAGTATGTCACGTTGTTTATTGTCCAATAGCATGCAGAGATAATTTGAAAGACAGCGGTAGAACCCACCCCACAACCAAGAGCCGTCAATGGAGCGTTGCCAGACTAAATTATTTATTTATTTAATCTGGCTTGCCAGGCTGTCAGAACCTAGCTTGTTCTGTTGAATCGTTAATAACAGCTTTAAATGACACTTCTGTTCCCAGAGTTTCAGTTCAAATAAAATAGCTCCACTAAAACTGAAATAGTCCACATGTAATGGATTTTCATTTTCCCGTGAGAAAGTAATAACTAATCAGAAATAGACTAATGAAGATGTTCGGGGATATTTGGCACTGTTAGTAGGTCCTCTTTAGTAGTTTCAACATACATACATTTATTTATGATTTTGTACCTCTGTCTAAAGGCTGATGTGTCCATCTGCGTGGGTACGGAGGTATGGCACAAGGTCTCTGCAGCAGGCCCGCAGAGGGTGACGGAAACATGCCCAAACTTTTAACTATCATGCAAAAGTGGCAGAGACCACTGATTAGTCAGCACGCTGCTTCCTTTAAATCTGTCCACAGCACCCCTCCCCCTTCAAAATAATAAAAGGAGTGCCAAAAGTATCGGCAGACACGGAGCAGATTGACGAATGTCTCATAGAAAATGTCTGACGGTATAAACATTTCTACACGTGTGACCGAAGGAGTACAAAAACATGCTGCAAACTTTTTATCTGTAGATGGAAATTACACGAAATGTAGGTGTGGAGGTGGCGACTGAATGGCGTCTCTGAAATACAAAAACAAAGTGTAAATACACCATCATGAACTGGAGACATGACTGCAATGGTGGCAGGCTCGCCCCAGAAAATATTTACGTCTTCTGTTGTCCTGGCGAGGAATTGCTTTGCAACACTCCCCATGTGACAGAGGGAAAATGTCTCTGTAAATGTGTGTGCGCGACTCCGAACTCGAGCTGATGGAGATGAATAAATTAGGCTTAAGTCTGTGTTTCCACTATAAGAATTTCTGGCAGGGGAAGGTGACAGGGACAGCCTTTGTGTCTCCGTACAGAATCGGCCCTTTCAGGACTTTGTGAAGATGTTGGCAAATCCGGACCGTTTTGGCAGTGAGTGATCAGTGTCAGTGATCAGCACTGGAAATCAACCACAACCATTAATAAAATTAAAAGTTTGATTCTGTCAAAGCATGCCATTATTTAATGCTTTCGGGGGGTGAGGAGAGTGACCATGTGATGCAACAAGCGCAGTTTAATGGCCAGAAGTAGTGTTTTTTGTTTTGTACTGTGCTCTGTAGGAAACCACAAAGCAGCAAAAACTCTGGTGTTGTGGGGGATTTCAAACATATTTCTTGGAATTGGG